TATAGTTTAATACTTGCCTTTAAGTCAAACCATATGAGGTTACCTGCTAAGACCTGTGGCCCCTGTTAGCCGCCCTGCAGTAGGATCTTCCCTGTTGCAGCTTGTAAGTCCCTCCCTGCATTTGTTGGACGATACTTGAGCAAGAAAGTGTTCTCCATACAGAAGAAGTAGAGGGAGATCAAAGCTGAAAGAAAATTGTAAATGGTTGCATCAGCAGCCATGTGAACCTGCCCTTGGCAACAAGGTGATCAGAATTTCTATTGGCGTAGTCACTCCCAGTGTTTTGGCTTTGCTCCTGGGTGGAGAGCCTCTGGTGAAGTCAGAGTCACCTGAGAGTGAGGGTAAACTACTGGGGACTGCTGATGTTAGTAGGCCACAGAGAGAGATGTTTGCTGAGCAACTGTACTGTGCTGGGAGGGACAACCTTACCAGGTGCTGTGCTGCAGTAGAGGATTCCAAGAGAGAGCAAATCGTGCCGTCCACAAACTGAATGCAGAAATCTTCATTGGCAGAACAACATAGAGCAGAGTCACAAGAAGAGGATGCCAATAAGGTACAAGCATGAAGGGGAGGCTGTATTTTGCTTAACCCCATCTAGGAGCAGTGATCTATGTTCTACTTGACTCCACGATGAACTCAGAAGTGGTGAATGGCCTTGTTTGTCTTCTTGACTATTGTTGCCGTTTTTGTTGCCTCCAATGGATTTCTGCCAAAGAGGGTACTGAATCACTTGTTTCTTACCTATTCAATTACAGATTGAGTGCTCCTTTTAGTAGGTTAAGGGTCCCAACGACTCCAGATTGGTTAGCCAAATGGCCAGTGGTGTAAGTAGTGTTACCTAGATATTTAGTCAGTTGCTGTGCTTAAAGCAGGTTTGTAATCTACCATTAGGCATTTAAATATACAGTATGTATGTATGAACTTGGCTCTCCTTGACTACATCCCTGACAATGGTATTCACCTGCTATCAAACTACCGGCACCCATGCTTCCTTGAGCCTTGTACCTCTGTCACCACATTCAGGGGGTGCTCGGAAAAGAGCTGCAATAAAAGTCTTCCTATCAATTCAGCCTCCAAACAAGTTATGTGACAATTAGGCATGTTTGATGTCTAACTGACTGGTATCTTCTTATACATTGATATAGGCATTTTTTGGAGATAACGCCATTACTGTAGGTAGGACTGGTGCTACCACTAAGCAAACTAGGCAGCCACCTAGGGTGCACTGCCACCTTGGGGCACAGCCACGGCCACAGTTTTCCCTACTCCAGGCCATGGCCAGATCTGGGGTGGGTGCTGGGATGGGCTTTGGAGGGATTTAGGTAAGGTGGGAGGGTTTCATGCTGGGAAGGGTAATTTGGAGGGGGATTAGCTAGAGGAGGGATTTGGGGGAATTTGTCTTAGGTGGGGGGATTAAAGGAAGTGGAGTGATGCTAGGAGGGTGGGATTGGGGGGATTTGTGTTAGCAGGGGGATTGGGGGTGTACTAGGAGAGAGGATTGGGGGGATATGTGTTAGGAAGAGAGATTGAGGGAATGTGTGCTAGGAGAGAGGATGGGGGGGGGGGGGGGGGGGTTGCAAGAAGGGAGGATTGGGAAGGGTTGTGCCAGGAGGGGAGATTAGGGGGTATGCTAGGAGGGAGGAATTTGTGCTAAGAGAGGGGATTGGGGGGGGGGATTGTGCTAGGAGGGGGTATTGGTGGAGGATTTGTGTTAGGAAGGGAATTGGGGGGAATTCTTCTAGAAGGGGGGATCGGGAGGGGTTGTGCTAGGAGTGGGGGATTTGGGTGCGGAGCAAAGATTTGTGCTGGGAAGGGTAATTTGGGGAGGGTTGTGCTAGGAGTTGTGATTGGGGGGATTTATGCTAGGAGGATTTGGGGAAGATGATTTGTGCTAGGGTGGAACATTTGAGGGGAAAGAGGGTGTGTGCTAGGAGGGATGAAGTAGAACTATGGGTGCATTCTTTTTTTTGGGGGGGGTGCAAGTAGCTGGTCTTTCTTAGGGCAAAAATAGTCTAGCAACAGCCCTGACTGTAGGAGGTATTGAATATGTATTGAAATTGAGATGTAAGATGTACAGTATAAAAGTTCAGTTTCAGATTAAAAAAAAAAAAAAAAATCCCAGATGTGCAGTATTAACTAATTATGCAAACTGTTTATTACTTGACTATTTATGACAGGGCCTCATTAGAAGATGTCTGAAGACCCAGGTTAGCTAAGGTTTATGATACATCTGCATTGTTTTTAACTTTGGCTGTTTTCGTCAGATGTATTTTAAGGAAGACAGAGATTTGTCAAATATGTCCCTTCCATGAATGCCTAGCACAGACATGAGATACAAATCTGTTAGTTTTTGTTACTGATTTGCAAAAAAGAGGGAAAAAGAGGGTGGCTCACCATTCAGTACTACTCCTTTTCTTCATACAGTTTGGAGTTTGTCAGGTCTCACTATCATCACACCTTAATCTATTAATTTTAGTTGCATAGAGATTGAACCAATCGTTTCAGCCTCCTCCAGCATTATGAACCTTTTAGCCTGTTCTATTTCTATTGCTCTACAAAAGAATAACATTCAACAAACTTGGCAAACTCTGGCTGTCACTAAGAAACTTTTGCGATGGACAGAGCAATTTACAACCTCAGTATGGTTATCCAGCATGAAGCTACTTGGATAAACTGCTAAAGGCACACAGATTTTCTGTAACATTTCTTTTCCAAGTCTCCCAGGAACCATACCCATCTCAATTCTGTTTATAGACACTTCTAATAGTTTTTAATTTATTTTGATTGACAGTTCACTTGCCCAGTGAGAATTTCTGACATGCAAGGATTTCTTCATAAATAATTCTTTATTCCATAAATCCTGACTTTGAAAGTCCCTGGGTAGAGGTTTAAAGGTATGCTCCAGTCAAACATGAAAATTTTGCATAAACTTGCTCAAGGGACACAGCCTACTCTCTGAGTGGCTCTAACATCATCCTGGAATTCACCTCCTGCACCACCTTGCTGTGCTTACTAATTCACTTACATTTTCAATGGTATTGGATCAAAAGGTTTGGAAAAGACAGTTTACTTTATTCACCAGTTTGAAGCTATTTAAAATTTGACACATTTATTAGAATCTGATTTAGGAATTTGTTTGATATATTATACTCTTTTGGTCAGTATTGGTTTTTCTCTTGTTTTTGTGTTATTAGTATCAAATTCATGATTCCTCTGCAATTTCAGTAACTTTATTTATGCTTAAAAATGATGTTATTAGCGCAGTGTTGTCAGATTTGTGGCCCTTTGCTTGGAGCCATTGTACAAGATGAGACAGTATTCTGTCCTGATTAAGCTTACTTATGGATTTATTGATTAAGCTTCTTCTGTACTTTTTACTGAAAATTATTCCCAGGCATGGTGTCATATAAGTAAATGAAAAATACCATACTTACTGTGTGTATATTCATGTACAGTGGATATTGAAGAACTCAGGTTAATGAAACCAATAACAAATGATGAGATTTAGATGGGAAGACATAGATACAGTATAGTTAAATGGAACAAAGAAGTTTTTTACAAATGAGTCCACGCAATGGGGTAAAATAAGTACCATTTGGTCACTGCATTTTGTTTCGATGTGTTATAAGAGAAATCAGTTTTTTTTTCTCATGAATGTATGTTGTTTGTTGCTAACAAAGCTTTTAGCAACCTTAAATTTAATCTGCATAATTTGCTGGAATTCTATAACCCTTTTATTAGAATTACATTGGCTTTATTATATACAGTAAATATACAGTATAATAAATATTATGGTCATAAAAATAGTGTAATGTTTGACTGCCAATAGAAAAAGGTATATTTAAAGTGATTCTAAAGGTTTTCTTTAAAAAAACAACAAGTATGTTTTACTTACCTGCTCTGTACAATGGTTTTGCACAGTGCCAATGGCTTCCGCTGCGGTATAAGCCAGTGAGGAGAGAGAGGACCTGAAGAGCCGCAGTTCTCATGCACTTCGCTGGATTGAGATGGGACTCAGGTAAGTATTAGGAGAGGGGCGCTGCACTCTGGAGGATTTGTACCTGAACCACTTGCCCTCCAATAGATTTACCCCCTTCCGGACCAGGCCATTTTTTGCGATACGGCACTGCATTACTTTAACCGACAATTGCGTGGTCATGCAACACTGTATATAAATGAAATTTATGTCCTTTTTCCCCACAAATAGAGCTTTCTTTTGGTTGTATTTGATTACCTGTGCGTGTTTTTTATTTTTTGCGCTATAAGCAAAAAAAGACTGACAATTTTAATAAAAAGTCAATATTTTTGACTTTTTGCTATAAAACATATCCAATAAAAAAATAAGAAACATTAATTTCGTCATAAATTTAGGCCAAAATATATTCTGCCACGTCTTTGCTAAAAACAAAATCCCAATAAGTGTATATTAATTGGTTAATGTGAAAGTTATAATGTCTACAAATGGCAGTATATATACTGGAATTTTTATTTATTTTTTTTATACTGGAAGTGGCGGTGATCAGCGACTTACGGCTGGACTGCAGGACTGCGGCGGACATTCTGACACTGGGGTGTGAACTGATTAACTGCCAGTGACATCTCCAGTGACACCAATAAAAGGAACTGACACTGTACTAATGACACTAGGCAGGAAGGGGTTAACCCTTTGAGGACCGTAAGATTTTGGAACGCCAAAAGAGTTAATTTTTTTGTTTTTAAAGTTCATACACTTCAGTTGCTGCAACTAAGCCATTTCATGAAATAATTGGCAAAAAGCTAGATCCATTTGTTGTTTGTTGATAAGAACTAATATTTTGACTCAAACCAAAAAAAAAAAGTTTTCAGCTCTTAATCAGATGATACACACAATTAAAAACATGGGACAAATACGTCCGTTGGTCCTCAAAGGGTTAACTGTGTGTTAGAGAGTGATTAGATTGTGTACTGTGCTGTTATTTACTAAGCAGACCTCCTGCTTTCTATCTGTCTGCTGTGCAGAGATAGAAAGCAGCATGTCCATGCTGACAGGAGAGAGATCCGTGTTGTTTACACACAGATTTTCTCCCCTCTCAGCTTTGCCGATGATCACCGAGTCCCGACAGAAAACTGTGGCTGGCCGGGACCCCAGTGACTGATATCCTCAGGAGCCAATAGCAGCGCGGGTAGGGCGGCGTGTGCTCTTGCCCCCTACCCGGAAATGCAAAATCACGTATATTTCTGTGATTTTGCCCAGCGAAGCCACACACTGTAGCAGTACATCTGATATGGGGCAGCAGGTAAGTGGTTAATGCATAGAATGTTTCTCTCTCTAGAACCACTTTAAGTCCAAAATATGGATTTCCTCTTCGTTTTACTTGGCAAGCGAAAATGTAGTGCATATACACACCACATGTTTGGATGTTCATTTATATGTGAACCCTCACTTTGTAAACCAACCTATTCTGTTTAAAAGAGAAATGAAAGGCAAAACATTTGTGTAAGCATATAAAAAAGTATAAACAGTCTTTTCCCTTTTTTTTTTTATAACTCATCATATACTCTCTGTTCTCATCTGCATAAGAGCTTCGGGAGGAGAAACAGCAGAACACCGATCTTCCCAGTGAATGGCTGTGCGGGTGTGAGGGGGTGTCAAGACAAGTCTAATCATTGCACACTGAGTTCCCGGAATAGCTAGAGAAACTGACCACTCTGTGCTCTCATGTCTGGAGTAATCAGTTTTTATTAGGAAAGGAGAGGGACTGGCAGGAACACCAGGGATTTCACACAAAGGAAGCAATACAAAGAGAACCGGATACATTTTTATACAAGTACATGGTACAGCAGGCACATATCAAGAATATGAAATGTTATGTTCACATATTCTTTACATTCTGGCAAAGATATAAACCAATTTAATATTTGGTGTGCATTCTTAAATATTGTAGAACAAAATCTGATCATAACGTGTAGCAGGAAGGTTTGTCCATACACTGAAAATTAAAAAAAAAGTTTCTGAATATGATGTTGTGAGGAAAATTAAATGATTCAGAAATGCTTTTCTATTAATTTTAGGTGATTATTTAAGTTAATTAAAGCTGGCCATAGATGGTTCATATCTCGGCTGTTTCCGGCTGATAGTACACAATCGACTTGGGTACAACCAGCCTGTCAGATTTTGCATTTGATTACTGCCAGCGGCTATAGCAGCTAGCAGTAATCATTGTGTTCTTCCGGCAGGGACGCCGGACACCCCTGCCATGAGAACATAATGGCTCTGCGGGAGGGATTCTCCTATCAACACTGACTGTGTTGATGGGGGAATTGAGCGATTTGCAGGAAAGAAAATCTCATCGTCTATGGTTTGCTTTAAGGTGAGCGCATTTGAAACAACACGAGTGCTGTCCATGATACTTTTATTTGCAAAGGAGTGTAGCAAAATGTGAAGAAAAATCTGCAATTAAGATAATCTCAGAAAGGAAGGAAATAAACACAATACAAGTGAGACTGTAAGCCAGATAAGGAGTAGGGAATTTGGCTATGACATAGGAGAGGGAAAATGAGACTGCTGGCAAAGCTATGTGAGCTATTGCAGAGGCTCCAAACAGCTGACATTTACTGCACTCAAATGTTACTGTATAATGTTATGTGGATGCAAAGACCTCCTATAGATTATATTTGCACTGAAGACTGCACAGTGCTGCCACCCACTGACTACATTAAAAATTACATGATCAAATTACATTTAACCACTTCCCATCTGGTTGTATGTAAACAGCCGGGCAGTGCAGCAGTGGGTTGCCGTTCATAAATGGCGCCCGCCATTTTGTACTGTGTGCGCTCCTTGGGAGCGCACGGCACCACGATCCAGTGCCCGCTGTGTCCTCCAGACACAGTGGAACACCAACCGCTGTACGGGACCTCTGTGTGAGGTCCCGATAATGTGATCACTGATTGGCCAATCAGTGATCACTTAATGAGTAGTAAGCAAGATGTCACTTCTGACATAATTGCTTACTATACTGAAATCTGTGAATGATCACAGAGGTCACATGGTACAAGGCTATTCACAACAGCCTTGTACCATGTGACAAGCTGTGACCAATCACAGCACACACAGTATTTCTCAATGGCTACAAGAATGCAGCCAGAGAGAAGGAGAAATGATTGATTTTACATCCTTTATGGGTGTAACAGCAATCAGTGTAAAAAAAAAAAAAACATCTTCATCACCCCTCACAAGTAGTGACACTGTATTGCTAGGGTGACAGTATGTAAAAAAACAAAACAAAAAAAGACATAAATAATAATATAAAAAAATAAAATAAAAAATGTTTTTAAAAATTATAATTTTTGGTTATAAACTAATTTGGGTTATTTTTTTTTACTAAAAAGATAACTGAATAAATTTTGGTCAAGATTTATGAATAAATATTAGTTTATTTGAAACCTTTTATAAGAAAAAACACTGATTTTTTTTTTTTCAAAATGTTTGGATTTTTCATTTATATAGCAAAAAAAAATAAACATCCCAGTGGTGAATAAATACCACCAAAATAAAGTTTTATCTGTCTCAAAAAAATGCTAAAAAATTCATATGGGTACAGTGTTGCACGACCCGCGCAATTGTCATTCAAAGTGTGACAGCACTGAAAGCTGAAAATTGGCCCTGGACAGGAAGGGGGTAACAGTGTCCGGACGGGAAGTGGTTAAAGAGTAACCACTTTGTTGAGAAAAAAAAAATAAATTTTCCCCTCTGAGTGATCTATGCACGTTGCAAGGATTTTAAGAAACTTTGTTGTAGATTCCTACCTTTTTTATTCCAAAGAAAGAGTGGTGTGTCTGTGTTCATGTGCAAAGTTTATCTAATGGGAGTGGTTTCATAATTGCTGATCAACTGCAGGGCTCTAATGAGGAAAGTGGAAGGGTCTGCATCCCTTTAGACGTGCAAGAAAGTGCAGCGCTAGTTACTGTAAATCATAAACGTCCATGTGATGTTCAAAATTAAATGAATAGGAATAATTATACAATCATCTGGCGGCCATCTTTGTAAGTGCCGGTGCTGTGTTTTTACTTCCACGTGGATTTGTATGTCTTATTATTCCAATAAATACTACACTATATACCGCTGTTTCAGGGCTCTGTATTGTGAGCACCTTTTCTAGGAACCCATATCGCAAGATCGCAGGATTCTTCCATAGTGGAGGGGCCACACATTCCCTAGAGAGATTGTTTCAAGGCTTTATTCATTGCTATCTTTGGTGAGTGCATAGTGGTGGAGGATTATCACGGATGTCACTTCAGTTCATGTACACTAGTTTACAAGAACACATTGCCATATTCCACAGGATATTTCACTTCATTTCATTCATTTTCATTTGATTATTTAGCACTAATTTTTTTAATGGATTTATTTTCTTTCATTGTATGATTATTTCTATTCATTTAATTTTGAACATCACATGGACATTTATGATTTATAGTATCTAGCGCTGCACATTCATCTCTGATGAAGACACATGACCGGTGGCGTAAACACGTAGGGGAGGGGCTTTGAAGTCATGACGCTTGATGGTTCCATACTGACACCAGCTGGATACTGATGAAGCCAAGTGACCTGTGGCGTAATGCTTAGGGGAGGGGCTTTGACATCACGACACTTGGTGGTTCCATACTGAAACCAGCTGGATACTTTAGGATATTCACCACTGGAAAAAAATCCAGAGGACACATTTTGTGCACAAAGCATTTTTTATACAGAGTACATGTGAGTGCATTACTTTATTAATAAAATGGTTTTAAAAGAATAATACACTATGATTTGATTATTCCTCTATATTAACCACCATGGAAGGGGAGCCTATTGTTTGAGTGGAGAAGGACCCCAAACAACAGGATACCATCCAATCCATTTTGGCCCATTTAATGGGACACAAGCGTGATATGACCTCACTTAACGGTTTGGTCATATACTTGAGGTGAGAGTACATCTGGTGGGGGAGCACAATAAATGCAAGTTTTTTCACACAAGAAATCAATTAAGAAGCATGGGATATTTTATTTTAAAAGGAGCTAGGCATACTTGAAGAAGCACATATTTATGGACTTTTTAATATAACTTTAATTTATTATATCTTTTGATATGGATATGGACATTACTTTTGTTATTTTGTCTTTTGTTCATAACATATATATGCATATTGGTTTTGAAAATTGATATTGGTTCACATATATATTTATTTTGGCACCCAATATCTACACCAGCACCTGGTTGCACCTATTACATATTATTTATTTTGAGCATTCTTAGTGAAGCGAGGCACATTTTGTTAAATAGTATTGGTTGGCATGCTATTATATGTGTTAGGTGTAGGCGATTCACAATTAGCACTTAGTATCAATTACCTTTCACATAGCACCTCACAAGCTTTTACTTTTCATGGCCATATTGCATTGCATTTTATAGTAATTTACAGAGCTGCAGAATGAAAAGAAAAGGTAATTTTTTAACAACATTCAATTACAATATGACTTGTGTCGCAATTTCATATACTATATTATTTTTTATTTGCAATTTTTTCCCACGAAAGTGGGGTTGCCCATTAAGTGCTTCCTTGCATTGTAGAACATGATTTATATCCACACATGCCAACTTTTCATGGGTAAGTGTACATGGGTGTCAGACTACTGTTGTGATTCAATGACATGTATTGAATAATGAAAGCAACGCACTCTATTCAAAATACAAGCACTTCATTCTAGAGCTTTCAGACATGTTTTACAAAACCATCAAAATGAAAACACTAAACTTACATGCAGTGTACGGTTTCAAATGTTTTCAGTGTTTTAACTAGGTATCAGTATAGTTATAGTCCCTGCGTCAATTCTATGCCTTACCTTGTAATGATGACCTAACTCGATGTGGATGCAGTTTGTAGTGTCATTGCCGACTGATTCCCCTATGTCCATGTATGCATTCACATAGCTTGTCCCTATTTGCTAAAGGGACAGGCAACATCTTGTTCTGGGTCACACAGCATTCAATGCATCCCTCTCGAGTTCTTATATGTTGTATCACAAATAATCCGTGTACAAATG